GAGTCGACTCCCCTTCACTAGCACAAAAGCTACCGCCCAACCTCTTCCACTTGCAAAGACACCATCGAAAAGAAAAAGGGAGAAAAAAGAAAGAAAAACAACATCATCAACTGTTGTGGGACAGGGTGAATAACTTGCAGTTCGTCAGTCTGACACGCACACTCCCATTCCTATTCCCCATCACCGGTTTACCTTGTTTGACTTCACTCTCTGTTTTATTTCATTGGGGTGGTTCCTAATGCCGTTCACATTCATTCTCTTCAGAAAATGGTCTCAACTTGTGCAAAACTGTGCATACACATACACTCACTTGTTCTTTCTTTGCCTCTTCCTCTTTTTTGCCACAGAAACCCTGGGCTTATTTGATGCTGCTGCTGCATCCCTTGCCTCAGACACGACACGAAGAAATGACTCCCTTACAATGCGTGCATACTTCATCTGCTCTCGAATGCTCTCACAAAGTCGGCGCCAGTCCCCCCATGCACTGCGCAACGTTAGCGGGCGATCAACCTCAGAATCCAGAAATACATGCATTGTCGGTCGGTGTGGGGCACGTTCCCTCCGGTACTCCTCATAGTATGGGTCATGACGTGGAATGTAATGTGGCAACGGACGTCCAAGAGCTGTTGCTGTGTCTATTGCCCAACACCGTGCAGTGTTGAAAACATGATATCCACCTCCTCCAAGCAGAACAGTCGGCAGCCCAAGACCAAGCACATCTGCTACGCATTGGGCGTGAGTGGCGGTGGTGATGTTAAGTCTTCCAATGAGATCGCCAACAATGGCATCCGCACCGCACTGTACGACTGTTGCTTCGGGGTCAAAGCAGCGTACAACAGCTGTGAATACAGTGCGAAAGAACAAAAGGTATGCGGCATCACCGGTACGCATGGGAAGTGGAACATTCACTGCAAAACTCCTCGCCGTCTCTGAACTCCCATAATCGCCGGTACCAGGAAAAAATCCATTTCCAAATTGATGTAAAGATACCGTCATGACACGTGTATTACCGTAGAATGCCGTCTCAACACCATCCCCATGATGGACATCCAGATCAAGGTACAAGACACGCTGAAATCTACGCAGTAAACGTTGAATACAAAGTACAATATCATTTACAAAGCAAAATCCACTCGCATGCGCCGCCGCACCATGATGCATTCCGCCAGCCCAATTGATCGCAATATCTGCTTCATCGCGAGAGAGGGCTTCTCCACAGGCGATGGAAGCACCTGCCTGACTAGCCACAAGTTCCCACACCTCTGGAAAGAGAGGACAATCCCCTTCACGGGACAGCACTGGCACTCCAAATTCCTTTTGATAAGACATAGCAATGGGATCAAGTGGGTTTCCACAGATGTACGGTGCCGACCGCAGGCACTCCACATAAGCAGAACGATGAAATCCCTGCAATTCCTCTGCTGTTGACGGCCGTGGTTGACACACCACCATGTGCGCATCCAACCCGAGAGATCGTACAAGGGAATGTAGTGCACGTACACGAGAAGGGCGCATTACATGTCCCTCCGCATATGCGATGGATGTTGTGGATTCATCAACAAAGTATAAAACCCGAGCTGTTGTTGTTGATGATGGTTTCGTTATTATATGTGTAGAGGAATTAGAATGGTGCTCACCCTCATTGCCGTCATCCTCGCCACCATCAACACTACCAGCCATTGAAGTGTACTAGTCCAACATGTATTGGTTAAACACTATATTACTTTTTACCCTCTGTCCTCTCCAGAAAAGCAGAAAATAAACACCTGTCAAACAAAAGCGGTAGCAAGCAAACAAAGAAAATACCGAATGAAACCCTCCCAGAAGCGTAAATTCAAGGCTCTTCCACTCCCACTGGCAAAACATTGCAACCGCAAAAATGAACAGAAAAACACGCAGGAACGACAAAAGGAGCACACACCCACACCCACACTCTCCCCTCAAACATGTATCATACCAGAAATAAAACCTGCATCAACACACAAAGAATCAATAGAAAAAAAAACAATTAGATAGTTCAACAGCAAAGCAAAACAGCATTACAAATGTGTTTAAGAGAGGGAAAAAAAAATGCCGTAGAAGACTCACATATACGGTCTTTCTTCATGAAAGAATGCATACTGTTTTTTTTTTAATGTTTTACCCTTAACTGAAACTTTTTCTGCCGTGAAATCATACAAATGTGAGGATGCTGCACATACCAAGAGAAGCCACACACGCCCACAGACACATACAGAATACTCCTGTTAACATTATCCAGACCAATCACCCGCAAACAATTCCTCTTCT